AAGAATTACATATAAATTAATGTAACACAACTGCCTCTGGCTTTTGGACAGTTTTATTCCTGCCCTCCATAAGGATCAGTTGTATCTTCAGTAAAAATGTGAAAATTACTGTCCTTAGTATAAGAGAGGATTTCCCCCCTTTTGTTTACTGGACTTTATAGTGGCTTATTTGGATAATGGACTTTCATTCACCCTGTCAATTGTAGTCAACATTTCTAAAACACTGAATGCTTTTCTGTATGTTATCTCTTAGGTAACCTCTGTGTGTCACGTAGATGAATACATAAGTACAACTGCAGGAAGAGTTGTAGTTCTATTTTTACTATTAGGATATTCTCCAGTAATATGCATGGATCAACATTTTCCTATTAACATGAAACATTGAGCTTTAATTTCCCAGGCTAAATGGATGTTAGGAAAAGTAGAGTTCATTATTACCATGAAACATTGAGCTGACTATTCCTTGCTTTAGTTTTCCAGACTAGATGGATATTAGGAAAAGTATTTTCATTTTTATTTCATATTTAAAAAAACCCCTGCAATTGTCTCAAACTGCCATACATCTGAAACCAATTTAATAAAAAATCATTTTGAGAATGCAAGGCATATATTTTGAGTTATACATGCCATAGGGTTTGGCAAATTTATTTGCTATGTCACACAATAAAAATCTCCAAGAGAGATTTAAATATTAACATTTCAGACATAAGCAGTTAGCTGTTGAGCAAGCATGGATACAGTTCTCCTGTGGATTGTTTAATACCTGCTGATATCTGGGAGTTTTACATTGGTAAACTTTGCTATGGTCCTAAAAGAAAATGCTATGTGTAAGCAAGAAGATGGGTTTTGGAACAAATTATTTAAGTTTTCATTCTGAAAGAGATTTCTAGATCATGTACTTTCCAATTTAAAGCACTTTGGAAAATGGATAATCTCGGGAGAAAAAAGATGATTAAACTAGACTGATTTTTATTCACCCTGTTGGAAGCATTTTAATCTATTCATGATGGAACTTCCCTTTGCAGTTTGAAAATAAGGGAGCTACAAGATTACAAGACCTCTTTTAGGTACAAATGAGTGAGCTTTTTTTCATTTAGGTTCATAAAAATGGGTGAAAAAGTAGTGAATATGGAGAACTTTAATTAGAAACAGTCCATGAAAATTTCTGAGCATTTTGAAAAGCTGTGAAGCTGACTTCTTTAAAATGAGTTGAGTTTGCCAAAATGATAGGGAACACACGTGTGTCCAGATTCTGTTGAGAGCTGTGCACATTTCTTGTCACCATCTTCAACATCAGAGTATTTAGGCTAGTGCTTGATGTAAAAAATTATGTTCATATGATGCAGCAGTTTCTAGATATGCAAGTTGCTGTGGAAAATCTCTGTAATTATTCACATCACTCCTTTAAATATGCGAGATATCCTTAGTGATATGTTCACATGGAAAAGTATCTGGTTTTGATATTTTCTCTTTTATAGTAGCACTGAATTTTTACATGAACTTGAATGCAAAGCTGCACCATTGTGTTGCCTATTTGGGAGACCTGTAGCATTTTAAGAATAAAAATAATGGATTGTCATGCATATTATGATCTTTGGTATTGGAACTTATATTACAGAATGCATAGAGTCACATGCTGGATAAGGCCTCTTGCTTATTTCATCTCTTCACCAAAAAAATCTGCTTAATTTTTTTTTTTAAGCAGTGAATGTGTTTGTTCCTATACATCAATTTGTCAGTTTATTAAATATGATATTGTAAAAATGGCAGATCCCCTTTACAGATGGGGGAAAATGTATACTTTCCAGAGCTTACTCTACAAAAAAAGCCCATTTGTAATAGAGCAATTCTATTCCATTTTCTCTGCCCCTTTTAAAGTATACTTTCTTGCTAGATGGGTTTGTCTTTCACTTTTTTATTATATATTAAACCTGCCATTTATTAGTAATACGATTAGCGGTGAGCAGGAACATTTTGAGGAAAGGAGTCCTGTTCTGGAAAGCATAAAAAATTCTTCCCTGCCTGACAGCCATCGTTTACATCCTAAATGTAAATTACATTTGTATTCTAAGAACCCATAGCCACAGAATGAAAGAGTAATTGTGAGTCCTGCATATGCACTTGCTTACCCAAACAGCTCTTTTTATATTTGAAATGGGAAATGGACAGAATAGCAAACAGATCAAACTACCAAATTCAATTATGTTTTTGTAGCAATATACACCAGAGTGTACATCAGCCAAACCAAAGCAAAGATAAAACGATTGTTGAAAAAATAAGATACTGGTTTGTTGAATTTATATGTACTAATGAATATTCTGTGCATGCTCTTTTATCTGTTGACTGTGGAACATTCAGTGTGTCTTTCAAAGAGGGAGATATTCACTGCATGGGTAAAGGCATCCCGAATCTCAACATTGGAGAACAAGAATACGTACAACGTACTCCATGCCTCAGTGGACCAGCCAATCGCGCGTGCTAATGCTTTTTGCATTTACATTATCTCTGTGTGAATGTAAGCATGTGCTAAAGAAGGTATCATGGCAATAAGTGAAGCAAAGCGTATCAACTTCTCCCTTACTTTGTCAGTGAGCTTTCATCAGCATCCTGATGAAGGGATCAGAATATAGAAACTTCCCATTTGATCAATGTAACAGGTTTTGCTGGTGAAGTGATTCAATTTGCCAAAATCTTGACTTCACTTGAGCAGTCCTTGGTAGCAATTAGGGCCCTGACCTAATATGCAGGACTCCTTTTGACCATTGAAAGGGGTGGATAGGGTGTTGCCTGGCTGGTTCTGTGCCTAGTATCCTGACAGTTAAAGGGAGCAGGTAGAGAGGTAACCTCTTGGGTCTGAGAGATTGTTAGTGCTTTTTTGCAAAGGGCAGGGTACCAACCTTGAAGGAAGCTGTACTGTGCTCCCTTCTGAAATGACCATCCTTGGATCCAATTATTTGGTATCCAATTTAAACTTTGGGTGAAGGTTGAGATACTGATAGCGGACCAACTTCAAAACATCCTAGAGGTGGATTATTTAGATCCTTTTCAGTCAGGGATAAGGCCCTGGTATAGGACAGGTATAGTTTAATTGCTCTCTTGTGTCAGGATCTGTGTCATGATCTGGGTGGAGTAGTGCACCCACCTAGACCTGTTAGATCTTTTAGCAGCCCTCCATACTACTGATTGTGGTATTTTATTGGACCATTTATGAGCAGAGATTATTCATTTATGGGGACTCATTGTTTTGCAATGGTTCTTCTCCTTAGGCAGATTCAAACTGATGATGTGTGTGTGTGAGTGAGATTGGTCCAATGACCCAGTATGTGGGCCCAGGGGTTGGATGCCTCTCCTATGCTCTTCAACAGCTATATGGAACCACTGGGAAAAGTCATCTGACTGTTTGGGATGTAGCAACAGCAAGCTGTAACTTTGTATTGCCACTTCAAGTTGTACAGTTTGCTTCAATTCTGTATCGTGATACCTGTATGAGAAATGACAGGTTGAAATAGAAGATGAAGCTACTGGTTTTACATCTCTCAACGGCAATCTCTCTGCATAGGCAGGCACTATCTATGAAGGCACATCTTCACAATTTGGGGGTCCTTCTGGACTCATGGCCTCTGCTTTAACTGCAGGTGGAAACTGGCTGGAGGAGCCTTTCCCAGCTTTGACTGATATGTAATTATAACTATCTTTTGCAAAGGACCCGAGTATAGCAATTCATGCCCTCATCGCTTGATTAGACTGATGTAATATGCTTTACCTAGGCTGTCCATGAAGATCACTTGGAAATGACAGCTGGTTTAGAATACAGTGGCCCACTCACATGTTCTTGGGCTAGGAACAAATCTTATTGTATATTAACATTACTATGATATGACAGACTTGCATTGTGGGTTACAATTTAGGATGCTAGAGGTGGGGGTTGACCTATGAAACCATTTTTGCTCGGTATCTAGAGGATTATCTGCTCCAACCAGAATTGCCTGACCCAATAGTCCTTCCAGAGATAAACTAGTCTCTAGTTTCTGAACAATTAAGAGGGCTCAAGCTAGAAACAACTTCATGGTGGTGTTACTATTTTGGAATAGCCTTCCAACAAAAATTAAGTTATTTGCTTCCTTGTTGATATAAAAATGTTAAAATTATTTTGGAGAGCTTCCTTCTAAGTTTATGTACTGCAGCGTTGTTTATTTTTTATTAATTTTTTTAGTTGCAGGGTTTTTATTTCATTCTAACCATGCCATGGATGTTTAACATGACATGGATATTGTAATTATTTTTTTTGCTATATTCTACCATGTAAACTGCCAGAAGTCACTAGATTGTGGTGGATATAAATTTAATGAATACTGTAAGTGGACAACTGTATTGCCTCAAGGGGCAGACCTACTTCAATCTTACAAAAAATTTTGAATTTGAATTGGCTGCTATTGCACAATATCCGATTCAGATTTGTGCTAAATACAAGGGAGGCAGTATTTTTGTTCATTTCTTATTATGCAAAGAACAATACAACAACATGCTCTTTGTAGGTTTTGCTTATGAAATATATATTTTTGCCACTTCCTAAGTAGCAGGTTTGACTGCTAGTCCTGAAAATATCCTGCTGGCTGGTGCTGTAGTTGTAGTAATGATAGAGTGATCTTCCAGATGACAAACTGGTGACAAACTTAAATGCAAGTTATTCTGCTTTAAGGGAGACTTAATGAATTGCTTATTCAGGGAACAGGCAAGCTACTTGTGAACAAACATCTGGTTTCCCATAGGCATGTGTACAAGGACGCACCAATTGAAAAGTGAACACATATGAAACCCAACTCACAATATTCTGTTGCTAGTGTCTTACAATATACTCCACCAAAAAGCTGGCACTGCTGCAATATAAATTAATGTGATTCTCCTATAGACTTTCCCATAAATTGCATAAAGGAATACAACCAAAAAAAAACCCCTATCACAGCAGAGAAAACTAAACAGGAATTGGAAAGGACATAAAATAAAAAGATTAGAAATATTTATTATGCGTTCTGCTACATGTTATAATTTGCTGTCAAAATAAAATGCGCAGATGGAACTTTATTCAGGGACTTGTGCTATATAGTCACATATCCCTCGTCAAGGTGGTAACTGGCAGGCAGTTAATAAAATTATTTTCCACTATGTGTACAAAGTAAAAACAATGCAATGTATTATTTCAAATAGTAACTAAACTCAGGGTGTTTTATCGGGATACTGATCTTGGTCGCTCACTTTCTGTTGCCAAATAGGCAGCCAAGGTCTCCTGAAAATCATGAAGGAAGTTGTATTGCTGTAAAGAAAAAAGGATGCTTCAGAATGATTGGACTTCAACATTAGGATGACTTAACTTTTTCCAATGATATGGGTTGGGATGAGTGGAGAACCACAGAAAAGGAACATAGAATGGATTCCCATTCTCCAACTCTACCAAACAGACTCTCCTCTCCTGTGAAGGTGTAAAGACGGTATTTGTTCATATAAGAGAACAGGCTTCTATAATATTTTCCATTAATAGATGAACTGGCTGCAGAGGTTAGCCCCTGGATTGTCCCTGGATTCTAGCCCCAGTTCCCCAGAAAAGGTGCCAATGCCACCATTAAGATGATACTCCAATTCCCATAATCTGCTGATTTAAAAACTATTCAATCCATTTCAACATGGATGAACATGTGTTGTGCAAGCCCAGTACACAAAACAAGGAAAGCTAAATAATTTTTGGTTAAGTATTTAGCTTAAAAGCAGCCTAATGAGAAAGAAGCAATGTAATTTACACAATTTGTTAAACAATAAGGGCAGGGCTATGGACAGGAAAAAATGAATGCAGGGCAAGGTATAAATGTTTCAATGTACCACTTTCGTGGGAACTACCTAACTGCGTTTATATGTGCAGGACCTGATGCTGATGCTGGACCTGGCTGGATGCGAGACAATGTGAGATGAGACTGGCAAAGCCCAGAAAAAGCAACAAACCTGAGCGCTGCTAGTTAGCTGGCATAAAGCTAGTTCACTCCAGAGGTGCACCAAGGATAGGTGTACAAGTGCTAAATAGAATGAACTAGCAATCTAGGCTGTCAGAAGTTTGTGTGTAGCATTTGTAGATTTCACTGACATTGTATGCCATGTGCTAAATAAATAATAATGCTTAAATAAATAAATATATAAAACAAACTAAAAGGTTTAACAATATCAAGGAGGATCCAGCAGCAGCCATGGATGTGGTCTATGGCCCGAGGGCAAATAGGTGTATTTAATCCAGAAAAGACTTTTAGTACCAAGCAAACCGTCTACAGTCGAGTATCCTACAAAGTTTGGGGAAATATGGAGGTGTACAGAAATAAATAAATTAAGCATCTTTTAAGCTCTATTTCCTCCTTGGCAGGTCTAACCTTTAAAGTTTGTATTGCACCTGAACCTCTCAACTCCCTCATGCAGTTTATTGCCTGCTGTGGAGTTATGGTGTCAGATATCTGGAGCAGAAGGCAAGCTGCAACTGTAAAGAAACCATAGAATAATAACCTAATGAACAAGACATTTTTAGTAAGGAGGAACAACCTGTTTTAAAGGTAAACAAGGTAACAGAACAATAAGATTCCTATGCTTATTCATGAATTCTCAGCTTTTCACATGTCAGCTATTTTGGAAAATATCAGTGACAGCATTTATGCAGATTAGGCCTATTAAATGCAGGAACACCTGAGCCTGAAACAAGAATTCAAATCCTTTGTGTTTATAGTTTTAATAGGGATTTATCATAGAAGCCAGGCCAGCTGGATTCAGAGAGCGCAGCTTCTATGTAAGCAGGGAGAGATGGTCAAAAAACGAAGATAGCAATCACAATCATGCAATTCAAGCCCAATCCTAAAAGATAGCTGTGACCATCTTGATTTTTTATGTATGTAGGATTGTGGGGAAAATTACTTGCATTTCTTCCCTTGATTATGTGTTATTGAAAATATAGTAAAAGCTATAAAATGGAGATTTGCTAGACCACTAGAGAGCTCAAGCGTAGATTAGGTCAGCATAGAAATAACATACTTAATATTTTTCCTATTTTACAGCACACTCAGAGATTCTTGGAAACCATGATGTGAGATGTTGGCACTTGCTTTACGATATGTCACCTTCCTGTGAAATGCTTTTTACATGATTTTTTTTAAAAAAGTAGTCAGGTGGTCCGAAGCACTAAGGAAAGTATCTGCTGTCACATTATTGCTCATGGTTTTGATAGGGCTTCAGTTTCACTCTTGAGACATTTTTGCTGCAATACATGTGAGAATCTTTTAGGCTTGCCAAAACCTTCACACTATTGGCTGAGTAGAGCATTATATCAAAGAATCCCTGATATGACACAGACAGTATGCATTTACTTTTCTTTTTTTTCAGTTTGTATGTAACCATGTATCTCGTATCCTAGCTTCTCATGACCAGCTTTTTAAAAAAAGGATAGTTCTTACAGTTTATAGAAAACTATGTGTTTATCTCCTTCAAACTTAAAAATTAAAAAGTCAATATGAGTCTACTGTTGGCTGTGAGAGATTAAAGAGAGCTTTGGTTTTTGAGTAAGTCTATGTATTGCAGAGAATTTTTTCTCTGGTATGAAGAAAATAGTTCTGTGATTGGCTGCAGAATATTACCAGTAATATTAAAAAAGCAATACTTTGTAATTTTTTAAACAGAGCACTTCACTTACTGAGACAGGATCGTCCAAGTCCTCCATAACAACTGTAAGAAATTTAAAAAATGAATATATTGCAATAGCTATAAACATGACAATCTCCATAGCCAATATAGTTTTTTAAAAATCTGCTGTGACTGGCACTTCTTCATATATAGAGGTTTTCAGTTAGATCTATTATTCCAAAGTCTAACTTAAAAACAATGGTTTTTTCCTAGGACTATTGATATTGGTGCCTTTCAGTTTTCTCACAATAAGCTGTGATCATATATTCTAGAGTAGTATTTTTTATGGTAGTGAAGTTGTTAAAGGAGTCTGAACAGGCCATCTCGTTCTACTTTTCAATGCAACTTTGAAGTCCCTTAGATAGAAAGCAGAAAAGTATGTATCTCTGATCTGTAGTTTGGAATGATACAGCAGAAGCTGACTGCAGCAAACAGAAGTGAAATTTTGGCACAGAGGTGGCAGATGAACATTTAGTGATTGAACCACTTTCATTTACTAAAAGAGGATAAATGACGAGAAAACTCAACTGTATTGTGGCTTTTTGTTTACTTTCAAGGCAGTTCCTCAGTTCATTTAGAATAACACAGCATCTGGCAATATCTGGTGTACCTCCATCAGGAATAGGATGGTGATGCACAGTGATCCCATAATTCTGATATGTTTCCATGAGGTGTGGGACACGGTACTTTGTGAGTTCTCCTTTGGTACAGAGTACAAATACATCGAGCACCCCGTGACTTTTTAGTTCATCTATAAAAAAGGCAACATAGTTACATATTTGCTAAAGTGTTAAATGCAATCTGAATCCATATATATGATTTTGATGGAATTGACTGCAAAACTACCGGTAGTTAAAAAATGTAATTTCCAAACTTTTCTAAGTAGCTTTGCCTTCAGTTGTAATATGTGTATCGTCGTCTGTTAGGCAAATAAAAGATGTCAGATTTAAGCCTGCCTAATTTTAGTATCAGAAATGGCACTTTGGTGTGAAATCTGCTATTTTGTTATTTCATTCTGTAAGCAAATATAAGAGATTTCAAGAAAGACAGCAATATTTACTGAGTGCATGGTAAGATTATTAGATTAAAATAGTGTTAATAAAAATGTCCCTTTCAGAAAAAAAAATCTTAAAATGCTTACATTTTAAAAAGAATATACAAAAACTGCAAGTAGAAAATTATAAAACTGCACCATTTAAATAAAGAAAACCTATAGCCTTGATGAACCTTAAATGTCAGTAGCTGCACTTAATGTCAGTGATGAGTGATGCTAGAGAGTATCAACTTCTAGAGTTAAATTTTAAATTACAATATGTAACTTTAAAAGTACTTTTTCCATGCAGAACACTTAAACAAACCAATCTGTTATTTCACTAAAGCTCATACTTTTACCAAAATTGCCGTATGAATATGCCCATGCGTTTATTATGTTTTGCTTTTGAAGCTTTTTCTCCAGTTGTCAATCATCAGATGTTAATTAGGTAGTTAACAGAGAAAATGCTAGAATTCCAGTTGTGGAGTAATGTTTCACCTGGAATCTAGTCTACTTCCATGTGCAATGATAAGTATTTTTATGCCATATGTTAATACAATTGCTTCGCAGAGTTCTCTTCCTTATTTTTGTGTTTCTTACAACAGTGTTGTAGGTTTGTAGGATACAGGTCTTTAACACAAATAAATGGTTAACTGCAGTTCCAAGGAATTAAAACTAGATTTGTGAAAAATAAGTTACTGAAGGACATACCTCTGTGCCACTGATAATTACCTATATCTTTCTGAAGGTTTCTTTTAATATTTTTGAATCGACAACCTAAATCAAGTGAGAAGGATGAAAAGAAACAAACAATGCTATTAATGTTAAAACAAATATTTAAAACATTCATAAATTCATTCTTAGCCACTTCTATGCACTTACCTGGTAGCGAGCTGATTCCTAGGAACTGGGAATAAGCTGGTGATAAGGGTAACCTACAGGAAGAATGCACAAAACTCAAAGGTAAGTTTTTACAAATTGCCATTTTTATCTACTGCATTTACTCCCAAGACATACAACTAAACCTTAGGAAGATGAAGCTGTTTATACATTGGGATCTTCCCCACCTCATATTTTATATTTGAATACTGAATATAATCTGAATAACCCAGGACAAGAAGCAATGAATGGAAGCTCCTTCAGCCAAAGAGAGATCCAATCTGGAACTAAGGAGACATTTCCTGACAATAAAAACAATTAATCAATGGAATAGATTATCCCTAAATTGTTAGTAATCCAGCATTGGAGGTCTTTAGGAAAAGATTGGACAGACATTTGTCTGAGATGCAATAAGGCCTCATGTCTTGGGCAGAGGGTTTATTTATTTATTTATTTATTTGTTTAAATTTCTATACCGCCCTTCTCCAATGTAGGACTCAGGGCGGTGAACAGCCAAAGTAAAAACAAGACATACATACAAACATACAAAATCTAAAAACTGTTTAAAATAATTAAATAATTTTGGCCGTAATTAAAACATTCCAATTTAAAATCCATTTAAAATTTGACTCAAGCCAGCCCAGCTAGTTGGAATAAATGGGTTTTCAGGGCCCGACGAAAAATCCGGAGGTCTGTTATTGTACGTAGCTCTGGGGGGAGGTTGTTCCAGAGGGCGGGCGCCGCCACAGAGAAGGCTCTCCCCCTGGGGGTCGCCAGCCGACATTGTCTGGCGGACGGCACCCTGAGGAGGCCCACTCTGTGGGAGCGTACTGGCCGGTGGGAGGCTATTGGTGGCAGAAGGCGGTCTCGTAAGTACCCCGGCCCTAAGCCATGGAGCGCTTTAAAGGTGGTCACCAACACCTTGAAGCGCACCCGGAAGACCACCGGGAGCCTGTGCAGCTCGCGCAGGAGAGGTGTCACGTGGGAGCGCCTCGTCGCCCCCAAAATCCCCCGCGCGGCCGCATTCTGGACCAGCTGGAGCCTCCGGGTGCACCCCAGGGGGAGCCCCATGTAGAGAGCATTGCAGTAGTCCAGGCGGGAAGTGACGAGTGCCTGAGTGACTGTGCGTAGGGAGTCCCGATCTAGAAAGGGGCGCAACTGGCGTATCAGGCGAACCTGATAAAAAGCCCCCCTGGCCACGGCCGCCAAATGATCTTCTAACGACAGCCGTGCGTCCAGGAGGACGCCCAAGTTACGAGCCCTCTCCGTGGGGGCGAGTGATTCGCCTCCAATAGCCAGCGATGGCGTCAGCTGGCTATATCGGGACGCCGGAAGCCACAGCCACTCGGTCTTGGAGGGGTTGAGTTGGAGCCTGTTTCTCCCCATCCAGGCCCGCACGGCCTCCAGGCACTGGGACATCACTTTAAGGGCATCATTGGGGTGGCCTGGGGTGGAGATGTACAGCTGGGTGTCATCAGCGTACTGATGGAACTCCACCCCGAAGCCACGGATGATCTCACCCAGCGGCTTTACATAAATGTTGAACAGAAGGGGCGAGAGGACCGACCCTTGTGGCACCCCACAAGCAAGGTGCCTCGGGGTCGACCGCTGCCCCCCTGTCAACACAGATTGCGACCGGTCAGAGAGGTAGGAGGAGAACCACCGCAAAACGGTGCCTCCCACCCCCAACCCCGCCAACCGGTGCAACATGATACCATGGTCGATGGTATCAAAAGCCGCTGAGAGGTCTAACAGGACCAGGATAGAGGAGCAACCCCTATCCCGGGCCCTCCAGAGATCATCCACCAATGCGACCAATGCCGTTTCCGTGCTGTGCCCAGGCCGGAAGCCGGACTGGAGCGGGTCTAGATAGACAGCTTCATCCAGGTACCGGGGAAGCTGTTGCGCCACCACACTCTCAACAACCTTCGCAATGAAGCGAAGGTTGGAGACTGGACGATAGTTAGCCAAAACAGCCGGATCCAGAGAAGGCTTCTTGAGGAGGGGCCTCACCACCGCTTCTTTCAAAGCGGCCGGCAGGACCCCCTCACTCAAAGAAGCGTTAACAATCTTCTGGAGCCAGCCTCGTGTCACCTCCCGGGAAGCCAGTACCAACCAGGAGGGACACGGGTCCAATAAACATGTGGTCGCGTTCAGCCGTCCCAGGACCCTGTCCATGTCCTCGGGAGCCACAGGATCGAACTCCTCCCAGATAACACTCTCAAGACCTGCCTCAGTCATCCCGTCTGGACATACCCAGTCAGAGGCCAGCCCTTCCCGAATCTGAGCGATTTTGTCATACAGATACTGCACAAAATCCTCAGCTTGACCCTGCAAGGGGTCATCCCGCACTTCCAGATGGAGGAGGGAGCGGGTCACCCTAAACAGGGCGGCCGGGCGATTATCTGATGACGCGATAAGAGCGGCAAAATAGCTAGTTTTCGCCGCTTTTATCGCCACTAGGTAGGTCTTAATATGAGACCTCACCAGTGTTCGGTCAGGTTCGGAGCGGCTGGTCCTCCAACTACTCTCCAGGCGTCTTTTCCGGCGCTTCATCTCCCTAAGCTCCTCGGAGAACCAAGGAGCTAGGTGAGTTCGGTGCCGGGTCAGAGGCCGCAAAGGCACGACTCGGTCCAAGGCCCCGGCAGCCGCACTATCCCAGGCGGCCACCAGGTCTTCAGCCGAGTCATGAGCCAGAATCTCAGGAAATGGCCCAAGCTCCATCTGGAACCTATCAGGGTCCATCAGGCGCCTGGGGCGGAACCACCTGGTCGGTCCCGCCTCCCTGCGGCAGGGTGCAGCGGTTAGAAAGTCCAGTCGAAGGAGCGAGTGGTCAGACCATGACAAGGGTTCGATGGCTATATCCCCTATATCAAGGCCACTCAACCACTGACCAGAGACAAAAACTAGGTCCAGAGTGTGTCCTCCTGTGTGAGTGGGGTCATGAATTAACTGAGTAAGGTCCATGGCCGTCATGGAAGCCATGAACTCTCGAGCCACCTCAGACGTTTCACCGATAGATGGCAGGTTGAAATCCCCCATGATGGCAATTCTGGGGGTGCCCACCGCCACCTCGGCTATAACGTTAAGGAGCTCGGGCAGGGCCGTTGCCACGTGGCAGGGAGCCAGGTACGTGACCAACAGGCCCATCTGTACTCCACGACCCCACTTCACAAAGAGGGACTCACATCCGGCTATCTGTGGAACAGTGGTCTCCCTTGGATCCAGACCTTCCTTTATAATAACCGCCACCCCCCCGCCCCTGCCCTGAGCCCTCGGCTGATGAAATGCACGGAAGCCTGGTGGGCATATATCCACGAGGGGGACTCCCCCCTCCTGGCCCAACCAGGTCTCCGTAATACCCGCCAGGTCCGCCTCCCCCTCCTGAATAAGATCGTGAATGAGGGGGGCTTTATTAACAACGGACCTGGCGTTGCACAACATCAGCCGGAGGCTCTGGCCCTGAGAATCTGGACAACCTGGGGAACAAGAAAAGCATTGGGGACCGGAATGCGCAATCGCTCTAAGATAGCGAGTGCGCATTCCCCGCACATGATGTGGTCCCCAGCTTCCGCCATATCTGCCCCTCCCACTCACTGTGCTGATGGAACAGCCCTCTTCAAATCGAACTCCAACCCCCTCCCCGACCTCCGGTTCTACGTCCCTAATGTCGCAGCCCTTCGCTAAGGCTGGTCTTGAACCCGGTGGATTTCCCCCAGAACCCACCCTAATCCCCCCCGAACCCCTTAAAATTTTTGTTAAAAACTCACTAAAAAACCCACTTAAAAAACCCCTCAAACTCTTCTTAGCCGCATGCCATCTCTCGGGGCTCCAACGCCCGTCATCAAGATAGGCCCTCGATAACGAAGAGGGCCAGACCTGCGAGAGGGGGGAGTCTCGCAGGGCACGAAGGTCATTCACCGAGTACATCAAACATCAAAGGGAGGTGATAGTCCATGGCCAATAACCAGGGGCCAATTTGATGTTATCACAGTCAGAAGGAGTGAAATGCCAGGCTTCAATAGAGTTCCAATGGAGCATGTGAGACCTCAGTGCCCTCTCACGGCAATGGCGGGAGTAAAATGCTGTTTCGGTCCGGCAAAGGGTGACCCAGCCCTCCTCTCACGGGGGCTGGTCAACCACGATCGTCCAAAAAGCCGGAGATGAGACAGCAGCTATAGACCCACTCCACCAAGACTTGAATCCCCAGATGTAAACCTCCATTCAACGGAGGGGAAGAATGGGGTCAGGTCAGTCCACATAATCCAGACAGGCTCAGACAGCGGAGATGCAGGCAGAGGGTTGGACTAGAAGGTCCCTTCCAGCCTTATAATTCTATGAATGGGGTTTCAATGCCTATGAAGGAGCATCTTTCTAGATTCAGTGGTACTGCCTGATCAGTAAGTGGAGGATGTGGCTTTTGCTGAAACTTTGGCAGTTTGCTGCTTCACTTGGGATGAGAGGACCTGACTATAGTGGCTCAGACCTCCATTACCATCTGACTAAGCAACTGTTAACGGGGCTTCAATAAGTGCAAAATGCAAGGGCCTGGCTGCTTCACAGGGATATATTGTATGAGTTTTGTGGGCTCTGCTTTGGCTTCCTATTAACTTCTGGATGCAATTTAAAGTGCTGGTTTTACCTATAAAGCTCTTTATGGCTTTATGCCTAGTTATTGCAGGATTGCATTTCTCCACTAGAAACAGCTCAATCACTTCCTGCACTAGGCAGCAGGTTGGACTAGAAAATCCCCAGAATTCTTCCAATCTTTACATTCTATGGTTCAATTTAAGGAAAAGAGTAATAAATATACCTAAGGATAGGAAAATAGTTTAGTGAAAATATTCACCCTCAAGTATGTAACATTTTTATAAGCATTAGAAATCACATCCAAGACATGGAGAGCTAGACATATGGATAAAGTTTAAAATATTCAGGCTGCAAATGCAACAGGTGTGCCTAATGCTGAAAAGCAGCCATTAAGAATTCTCTGTAACTCTACTTTCATGTCAATCTTTACATGTACGCTGAGTATATAGAAGTGGAGGAATATTATATTGATTCCAATGGAAGAGATTAGATCAAATACTAGACCGGGGTCCCCAATCTTAGCAGCTTTAAGACTTGCGGACTTCAACTCCCAGAATTTTCCAGCATAGTTGAAGTCCGCAAGTCTTAAAACTGCCAAGTTTGAAAACCTCTGTACTAGACTAATAGAAGACCTATACTGATCACCTCATTCTACATTCCAAAATTTTAGGATGAGATCTAATTATAGCCAGCTCTAAATTCATTGTCACACTTATAATTAGTGTTCCTAATCACACTACAGGTGCAGCTTTTAAATAAAAGCTTTATATGCATACATTTTTATTCAAACACAGGTAATCTCAACATGAATGACAGAAGTAGGACAATATAATCCACCCAACACATTAAAAAAAACCCGAAACCATCCACTTAAAAAATACAAATACCATGAGAGAAATGCAGAAAAAATAGTTTAAAAACAAAAAAATTAAAAAATGTTTAATGATTTTATCTAATTGTTTAGTCGATTTATAGAAAAAGACAAGAGGGTTATGTTATTACTCTGAATTCTTGAAAAGAAGCAAAATGACTATTAAAGTGTTTAGAAGAGATACTGTCATTTAAATGAGACAGTGGAAAATTAAAAAGTGGCATCTCATTTATATAATGTGGATTAAATTAAGAATGTCAATATGTTAATCAGATATGGACAGAATATTAAAGTTGCTCCCAAAATTTTAAAAGGTGATTTTTGCTCCACCACCTTTAGTCTTACCAGGATACTTGAAAAGGTGTCTGTTCTTCCTCCAGGGGCTCCTCATCTGATGAGTCAAACTCGTTTACCTGCATTGCACACATCTCAAGGAAATATTGCAAGAAAATAGTTTTATGCCATGAACACATTTACTGCATGAGTTATCACAGGTTAATCACATTAATTTTCCTTTCCACACATAAGAATTTAATATCTTGAAAGCCTTTACAATTGCCTACAAGTAACTGATTAGGTCTGCTACATGTTTAGATTTTTTAATGCTTATGCCCCTAAAATTTAGATTTCCTCTAACATTTCAAATTAAATAAGAATAGGAAAAGAGGGATATGCAGTTTGGAAGGTAGAAATTAGGATTAGAAGGGAAGAGTTACCATAGTTGTAGATCACCTGGGAATCTTTGAATGGCTACAGTGATGAAAAGAGGAGTCAAAGATTAGGATAGAGATACTGAGTTAAGAGAAAAATAACACAAAACAATGCTGAGACTTTGATGGCAAAAGAAACATTAGGTCCAGGAACCACTGAAACCCACTTATGGAAACAAAGATAAAGATGTGATTAAAGGATATTTGTGTGAATAAAAGTTATAGAATTGCTTTGGAAATGATTTTTGGCTTATTATTTTTGAAAAAGCAATAAGGAGTGAAAGAACTTTAAATGTTTTATTAGAATTAGTTGTAAGAATATAGCAGATGGGAGAAGGAAATAAATATAGTAACTTTAGATAAAATAAATTTTAGGAAAAATATGAGCTTTTAATTAGGCCTTTGTTGAGCATCAAATTTAATTCCTTACAATTTATGTTTTAAGCTATTCAGATTTGTTGGATATGAGATGGGCTGCAAATAAATTTAATAAATAAATCCCAGAAAGCTGCTTCTGATCATGCAAAGCTGCCACCATAACACCTGTTTACAATTCTTTAAAGCTTTTTCCTGGAATTACACACTAGCTGTAAAAGGTAGTTATGCCATGCGGAAAAAGATGCAGCTGTTGCATTTCAAGTTCTAAAGCATCTTTATGGAATCAAGTCTAAATACTATACAACTCAGATTATTACAAATTAGCTACCCTGGGAATATCACATATTCTTTTTCAGTTTAAGGAGCATTAGAAATAGCAATTGACAGAAATATATTTATATTTACCCTATTTATCTCACAGAGATAAGAGGAGCCTGAGTGGCGCAGCAGACTAATGCTACTGTTAAAAGGTAATATTTAGCTTCCAGCTGCCTACAATTACTGAGAGTTTGAATCTCACCAGGCTCAAGGTTGACTCAGCCTTCCATCCTTTCTAAGGTAGGTAAAATGAGGACCCGGTCTGTGGGGGCAATAAGCTGACTGTATAAAATATACAAAAGTATGAAGGCTATTGCTTAACGCCTTGTAAGCCACCCTGAGTCTCCGGAGAAGGGCAGCATATAAATAAAAAATAAAAAAAAATAAAAAAACATACATGACTCTGGGAGGCTAATAGACACAAAGTGCAAAATTAACTACAATCATAACAACAGACAGCATTAAAACAAAAATTACTAAAGCCATTAGAAACCATAGTCTGCAAGTAATAAAGTGGTATGATAAAGAGATTTATGGCAGAATGTCTAAAGGAGTCTGGTAGCACCTTTTCCTACCAACACATTTTTATGTGGCATACATTTTCAGGCAGTTCAGGTCATCAGATGCTGTAAGCGGTGAGGCGTGTTAATCTATGGTTGGCAAGCTCACCAAGGATTATGCCAACTGTACTCGTGCACCAGAGGGCAGGACAAGAAACAACTGATGGAAAACTAATCAAGGAGAGAAGCAACCTGGAATTAAGGAGAAACTTCCTAACAGGGAGAACAATTAACAAGTGGAACAGGTTGCCTTCAGAAGTCGTGAATGCTCCAACACTGGAAGTTTTTGAGAAAAGACTGGACAGTCACTGGACTGAAATGTATAGGATCTCCTACTTGAGCAGGGGGCTGGACTAGAAGACCTCCAAGATCCCTTCCAGTTCTATTCTGATTCACGTTTTGATCGGAACAGATGCTCCCAGAAATCGGATTTTTTTCCATCAGAAGCGGAACTTTGCTTGCGGTTTCAGGTATGAAAAGGTATGCCAAGCTTTAATTCTACTGGGCCACCGAGATGGATGGATGGATGGAGGCGCCCATTCGCCAGTGCACAACTTCTTCTATTAAGTCTGTAGATTCTCAGTAATCCAGGTCACGGTTGTCCTAAAGGTGCTTTTTTTCAGGAGGCCACTGGACTTTGTTTTTTTCTTTCGAAGACGGAAAGCGAAACGTCTTCAAAAAAAAAACCAAGAAAGTCCAGTGGCCTCCTGACAAAAAAGCACCTTTGGGACAACTTCTATTCCAGGGGTTTCCAACCTTGGCAACTTTAAGACTTGTGGACTTCAACTCCCAGAGTTCCTCAGCCAGCAAAGCTGGCTGAGGAACTCTGGGAGTTGAAGTCCACAAGTCTTAAAGTTACCAAGATTGGAGACCCCTGATCTATTCTGGTAACTGGTTGATCCTTATGCGGCGCCTGTAATGAAGGACTCCGCCTAAGTTTCCATAGGAAACAATTGGAAGGCAGCCATTGGCGGCTTCCTCCTGGATTCGTTCTTGTGGAACGTCAGTGCTAGCGGGAGAATTAATCCACCAATCGTATTCCCTAGCCTGTGAAGGGGGCGGGGTTAGGCAACTGGGGGCGGCGCCGCCTTAGAAGTAGCGGTAAATCTGGCTTCGCGCGGAAGCCGCTCCAGTCGCTTCCTCAAGAACCCGAATAGTTTCAAATAATTAGCCCAAATTGATAAACGTTAGACATAATTGTCCCAAAGCTGTTTTTTTAAGGGGCAACTGGACTATCCGGCCCAGTTCACCAGAAAGTCCATAAACCAGAAAGTCCAGTTGGCCTCTTGAAAAAGCACCTTTGGGACATCCATGACTTGGATGACTGAGAATCTCCACAGACAGTTAGACATAGTTTCTTTGCTAATTTGGCTTCCTTGCATTCTTTTTTTTTCCTTTTCGTCCATTAACAGAAAGATTTTAAAAATAGTTTTAAAGAAACCCTCTAGCCTAAAACCCATTAAACAGAAGTAACTATTTAAAGTTTAACGTTTGCCCATCGTGGGCGAAGGAAACTCAGAATAAACTCGGGCCCCCAAAGGCTCAGGTAGAGGCGGGGGAAACGCCGGGTTTTTGCTCCAAAATACAGAAAATAACGCCGAATAGAAGCTCTCCTCCCGCTGTGTTGCTAAGATACCCCCTACCTCAGCGATGCGGATTCCCGCCAAAAAGTGGCCGCTTTCCCCCCCCCTCCAACGGTTTAAAAAGGCTGATACTCCACCCCTCGCGAAAACTTTCCCATTTGGCCAATCAACCGGCAGGAAAAAAAATAAATTTCCCGCCCAAATTCCTTAACTTGAAAGGACGATTCTTATTGGATTATGACCTTTGAGAGTCGGAATACAGTATAATAGGCGCCTTTAAAGAAAGTGATGAGAATTCTTTTCGGTTAGACCTCAGGAAAGCGCAGCGCAAAATCGAAGGGTTTTCTTTGAAGAGAATGTGGGTAGAGTCAGGAGATAAATTTTCATAAAAAGCAGGATGTAGTTCAATATTTAAAATCTGTTTCTGGTGAAGGAATTTGTCAAGAGACAGGATAGTGTTTTTTTAATGCAAATTTTGAATAGCGAAAGGTATGAAGCAGGAATGTACCTCCAAACAAAGAAAAATATTTGAGGAAAAGCTGAAGATGATTTAGAAACAGCGTCTTTGAAACTTGGCAACTTTAAGATGATTGGCCTAAAAGTAGTTAAGGCACCAGGCTAGAAACCAGTAGGGCTTGAGTTCTAATCCCACATGAAAGCCTGCTGGGTGACCTCCTTGGGCCAGGCACTCTCTCTCTCTCTCTCTCTCTCTCTCTCTCTCTCTCTAGTTTAGCCCATCTCACAGGATTGTTGTGGAGAGAATAGGAGGAGCAGGGAGTATTATTTATAAATATAATAAAACTGGGATTTTAAAAAATCTAAAAAGAGTGATGTGTGTACTTCAGATTTCAGAATACACATAATTTTAAAAGCAGCCTATTCCTAAAGATGATATTCTTTTTCTTTAGTACAGTGTTTTTCAAACTTGGCAACAATATTCTGGAAGTTGAAGATTGCACATCTTAAAAGATGGGACTATCTCAAGGGTGCCTTAAAGATCCATGTATTGTGTGAAATGGTATCATCCAGGCATGTTGGATATGATTCTGCTCATCCCCAGCCTGTGGTCATTGAATTTCTCAAGCAGACAAGATAACAATAACCCATTTCCATTTTTCTGATATCTAGCCTGCGGTCCTTATTAAAATTTTCAGATAAATTCCCTAAGATTAATGATATTTCCTCCTGTTCTAGAAAATAAAATAAGCCCTGATTGTGGTTGTCCTTGGGAGAGAAGCCATGTGAACAGCAGCAGAGAGTGACATTGCATTATATTTTTTGAGCCTCCAATGGCTCTAAATTGCTATCTTGGAACAATATAATTTCTTCCCTGTAAAATGTCAGTGTAAGCCATTTGGTATCAGAAAATGTATTTAATAAACAAAGGTATGTTTCTGAACTTCATATTGTGAATATATTAAGCTAGGTTAAATACCGAAACTGATAGCACTATATTTTCATATATATCAAGTAAGTTAAGTGAAACTTAACTTTCAGTAAATGGGTAAAGGATTGTAGATTGAGATGTTTATCACTAAATTTTATTATAGTACATAAATGCAAACATTGCAGCATCAATACACGTACACAGATACAAAGATACATCTATAAATATATGTACAATTATATTTTTATTAATTATACTATTTTCTTAACTCCTGCTTCATTAATTAAGGAGAACATTTTGACCTAATGCTTCGGCAACTGTAGGGGGCACTCTTGCTTTATGAATGTAAGTACTTTAAAAACATTTTAAAATTGATATTATACAGAAAAATATATTCAGATTATCACAAACCATTGACTATGTCAGGTCTTTGGTATGATTTAGCATGGAACTTTTGATGTGCTTATCAATTTTATTTTGAGAATATAAAAACGAATAATTCGTGTTTTATGTATGTTAAGCTGTTCATTTTTTAAAACAACCATTAAAATAAATCATATGTTGGATTAAAAAGAAATTGTATTAAAGCAAAAACATAAAATATTCAAAATATATCTGAAGACATAGTTTCTGAATTTTTCACTTTTGTTTGTAAAACTGCCTTTATATTTTGATCATGTTTCCATATTGTTGATTTTATTCAAGCTTCTTTCCGCTATGTGTACATGGCTTGCTCCTGGTTAAATATGCCAAGCATTTAAGGTATATTTTCTTTCTGAAAAAGTCAGTTGATAAAATTGTTTCTTTCTTTTAATGAACTGTTATATCAAAGAACAGCCATAAGCTTGCAGAAGCACTTTTATTTAATGGTGGTCAGAATTACTTGTTATGTCTACTTCTACGCATCTATAATTCCCCATTTCTTACCCAAGATGCACCTATCTTCATACTGCAACTTTCTGATGCCCAAAGTTTGTTTTGACCATTCTTCATGAAATGTATAGGAAATATTACAATCTGGTATTATAATTAAAGATGGCCCCTGTAATATTATGCCAGTATATATGAAAACAAATAATGATTGTGATTTCTTAAAGATGACAGGTAGAACAACTAACCTTAGAACTGAAAATGAAGATATCAAAGGGATGAATGGCTTCTGCCTTTTAAGATCAACCATCAAGTGTAAAGGAACAAAATAGTCAAGAAATATGCTGTAGTCTAGCACTTGATAGAGCAGCCATAAAGGCCTTTGATATTCAAATTTGTGATGTGTCTATACCAGTGTTGGCGAACCTTTTCGGCACCGAGTGTTGAAACGGGAGCGTGCCTTCATGCCGCAAACCAGAAGAGCAGATGATCTTCTGGTTTCCAGCGCGTGCATGTGAGCCGGCCACCTGGTCTTCTGGTTTCTGATGCACATGCGTGCGCAAAGACCAGCTGTCCAGGGTGCATGCGATGGCTCCGCCTGGCCTTTCGGGGTCCTTGGGCCTCCCTACTCACCCCCTGGTCCTCGTCAGGATGGCGGGACATCCCCACCAATGACTTTTTTTTAAAATTTGATTTATATGCCGCCCTTCTCCGGAGACTCAGGGCGGCTTACAATGCGTTAAGCAATAGCTTGGTTCCGCAGCCCCAGACAGGGAAAGAAAGTTGGGCGGGGAATGCCGCCTCCCTCTGCTGGAAAGTTGGAGCACCTTCCTGGCCTTGGAGATAAGAAGCGTCTGTATTCCCGGGGTTCGGGTTTGCCCCAACTCTGGCTGGGATGAAGCGCCCCCCAGCCCGCTACCGGGAACAAGCTAGCGCAGCCCCCTCTTCCTGGCTGCTTCCTGGCCGATGCACTTCTTACCCCTGATGGCAGCTCCTCCTTTTCCTCCTGGCTGTTCCAGCTCCTGGCTGGAAGCAGCAGCGCGAGAACTGCTGCCGCCCCCTCGCCCCTTGCGATGGCAGGAGCAGCGGGAGGGGCAGTTGGCCCTCCAGCCAGCAAATGCTGTCCCGCTGTCCTGTGTGCCCGAGCTGGCCAGGCGCTCCGAACTGCGAATGTGTGTCGGTACTGTGAGCTGTAGGGCTGGGGCCGCGTAAGAAGCCCGCTAGGGTTGGGAGGGAGGGAAGCCCCGGCCCGCCCATTCTGGCTGGCAGCTCTGCTCCCCTTGCTCTTCCGAGTTCCGGCGCACCAGCCATCTGGTCTTCACGTGCTCGGAAACTGGAAGAGCAGCTGGAAGATGATCTGGTTTCTGGTGCGTGCATGCATACTGGCTAGCTGGTTTTCATGTGCGCATGTGTACTAGAAGCCGGAAGACCAGGTGGCCGGCTGCATGCGCGTGCCGGAAACCGGAAGATCATCTTCCTGGCATGCGCATGTGCACTGGGCGGCTCCCCTTTCAGTTTTTGGTGCTCCCGCACGTGTGAAGACCAGCTGGCCGGTGTGCCAGAACCTGGAAGAGCAACAGGCGATGGCTCGCGTGCCCGGAGAGATAGCTCTGTCTGCCACTTCTGCCACATGTGCCATAGGTTCGCCATCACGGATCTATACAGTACCTGTAAAGATCAGAATTCTGCTAGCCATCTTGACTTGTTTTGAATCTAATCTTCCTGGAATCAGATTTAAACAAGTAAGGCCTTGAGAGATTTTAATTTAGCTGAAAGTAAATACTTTTGAACAGTAGTTGTTGAACAACCTTAATGCAAAAGTTAAGCTGTAATAAAAAGGGAATTTTGCCATAGTGTATGTAGCAACACTAGTTTTTTTTCCTTCAGTCTTAACAGAATAACAGTTAGAAGGGATCTTGGAAGTTTTCTAGTCTAACCCCCTGCTCAAGCAGAAAACCCTGTACCATTTCAGACATATATTTGTCAGATTTATATTTTTACACTGAATATGCCTAAATAACGGATCAAGCCTTCCTTGTAATCATCTGGAATAAAGATATGTGGAACAACAGCATCTTCCTACCTATGAATATAATTTATTTTTGTTTATAGCTTTAAGGCTTGGCCTAACTATTTATCTGGTTAACCTTACTCAAAATAAGCCCTGTCGTCCTTTGAGCCTACAGTATCCATAGACATACATTCAGGAAGCTTGCTATTTCCGTTTGTCATCAGCCTGTCCCCCTCCTTGTCTCACATATGCCATTCAGATAAACATGTTCTGTTGGTGGTTTAAAGGAAGTGACCTCATGAGTTTGCCTTTTCAACTGCAAAATGTTAGCTATAACGTAACATTCCACCCCAGTTCTCTGGTTTACACCAAAATCCAGCTCATGGCCTGCAGATCCTCATCACAAAGAGCAAAGAGTGACTGACCTTGACAACCTCATTTCTCATTCCTTTCTAGTTATAGGTAATACAGTGAAGAAATGTGGTTTTAATTAGGGCACTAATGAAAACTGAAAATCCAGACAGACACTTGACAAACTCTGGTACGCTTTATATTACATTTGTGTTTACTACAAAGTATCCAGCTGAGGGTAACTTTATCTCCTCTTTTCTTGAGCATCCGCTTGACTTAAGCTGGATAATTAATGTGTACTTTGGCTAGAGGTCAGCTTACAGTTGGTGCCGTTGTTATATGGTTTTTACATTTAAAAAAAACATTGTAATGAAACAAATATGTTTATTATCTCTTCTGCTTGCATTCCACAAGAATATTGCAATTGTGAGGCAAGACACACTGCTTAGTAAAATAATAGGAATCTATTAAAACCTAACAAGCAATTTGAGGTGAATTCTAGACAGAAATGCAGTACTGATAACGGAATGTGAGATGCCGCCCCAATCAGGCAATCAGGTGTCTCTAGCTGAGTCTTGCAGAAGTGAGTAATCTTTCCATAGGTTTTCTGTCAGCTGGGGAAAGTTACCTTCCTAAAACAACCATTCCAACAACCTAGTTATGTTTGCTTTAACTACTCTCTGTGCTTATTAGAGGAAAATCACAGTTCACTTAAACTGATACTTCCTATTCTCCAACCATAGTGATGTGGTAGCTGGAGGGGGTCAGAAGATTCTTTGCATCCCAGCATCAGTAATTTTGAAAGGGACAGAGAATAACACATGCTGATCAGAAACATACATGACCGGGCTGAGAGTCCACTGTGTTCTGTTGTAAAAGAATTAATACTGATTGGCTGGTAATTCCTACATGTAAACGTAACTCTTACTCATAGCATCAATTTCTCAAAACGTGAAATGGTCAGGACAGTCCGGAACAGTACTAAGTGGACTTTAGATTGGAATCAGAAGACTTTGTGCCTCAAAAAGGTGGTTGTTTGAAAGTTCCCTTAGTTTGCCTCTGAGATCATTCATTGTTGTGGCAAACAGGAAAGACAGTTGTGTCATTCTGATTTATGGTAGATTAAATTTATGGTGTTGCTTTAGTTGTTATATTTTCGGACTGCAAATCCAATAGCTATTTAGTTATACAAACAAAATGAAAAATGTTTTATATCTATCCTAATTTTTAAGCATTCCTATGTTTCCCAGAAGAATAAATCTATGTGAGAAGAAATCACTGAATAAGTTTGGATTTTATTTTTAGGTCTTTTTCTGTTTTTCTTTTCAACTTAGTTTATGATACCATGATTTAAAATGTAAAATATATTCCTCCCTGGTCTTAGAATATTTTTGAAGTTTTGGCTTTTGTGGTTTATGGAATTCCTGATTCCTTCTTAGTCAGGAAACACAATGTAATGTTACTTACATGTTTTTGTTTTAACAATTTACATTGTATTTACATTTGCTTTATCAATTTATATAGAGCATGAGCTTGGTCTAGTGGTACAGGCACCAGGCTAGAAAGCAGGAAACTTTGGGTTCTAGACATTATTATTATTATTATTATTATTATTTATTGAATTTCTATACCGCCCTACTCCCGAAGGACTCAGGGCGATGCACAGCCATGAAATAAAACACATAGATATACAAAATTTAAAATTGAATAAAATGAATTAAATAAATTTGGCTGAATTAATACCCATAATTTAAAATACCCATAATCTTAAAATACATTAAAAATTAAAAATTTACACTTAAAAGGGAGAAGATTTAGGCGAGGCCAGCTTGATGAAATAAAAGCGTCTTCAACTCGCGGCGGAAGGTGCGCAGATCCGGAATCCTCCGTATCTCTGGGGGGAGCTCATTCCAGATCGTCGGTGCCCCCACAGAGAAGGCTCTCCCCCTAGGGGCCGACAACCGACATTGTTTGGCCGATGGCACCTGGAGGAGCCCCTCTCTGTGGGAGCGTACTGGTCGGTGGGAGGCTGTTGATGGTAGTAGGCGGTCCCGTAAGTAACCAGGTCCTAAGCCATGGAGCGCTTTAAAGGTGGTAACCAGAACCTTGAAGC